CAACTCAACATCTTCCTCTGCTGCCATCCCCTGTTCAAAGTTGTCAAAATGAAAATGAAAACTTTCAAATATACTGTAAAGTGACCAGTTCAATATCAAAGGCATAACCACCTTTGGATCCTTCAAAGGAATAACACATTATGAAGGTCAAACAAAGTTATAAGCAACAAGGTGCCTGCTAACTCAAATAGGACTTATAACAGGAGAAAATATGTACGAGTAAGTTTAATAGCACATGCCATATATCAAGTTTGCATCTTGCAACATGAGGCATACTTCTCTGGTCAAAGCAGCAGAAATGCACCCAAATCAAGCAAATCTATGCTTAAGCATATTAAACACATTCACCACTCAATACAGGAAAAAATCTTAAACCCAAGCTGCATATTACACAAAAGCTGGGATGTCTGCATGATGCAGAGTTGAACTTCAAGCAATGTTGGTTATATGCACACACACACACACACTCTACTGCAAAGATCCTAATACGTTGCTAGAGACAGGATAGGAGATTTAAAGTTGAATAAAGCTATATCCACGACCTCGGAAATAAATTTTTTAGTTCATCAAAAGAGGAAAAAAAAAAGGGTGATTATCACCTGGGTACTTCTGTATTTTCCTGAAAAGCTGTACAAATCATATTATTAACTAACCAGCATCACTCAAAAATGAACTCAGATGACCAAACAACAGCCCACTAACTCAAATGCATCCCTCAACTATGCCTCTATGAGGCCTATGCAAAATAAGTTCAAAAAACACAAATTAAAGAAGATCCAACGTGTAAATCATAAATCTAAGGCTATTTCCAGTTCAAAAAATTTTAACTTCTGAGAAATGGAGGGGGAAATAAAGAAATTAATATCTGTACAAAACTCAAATTATGATAAACTAACAGCAGAATCTTGTAACAATGAACAAATGAAACCCTAATTATCACATTGGGTTGATAATTCCGTCAATTTTGGCTTTATAGTTCATCTGACTAATCGCATACAAGCACAATCCGATCTTAACAAAAAGCCTAAACTTTAAACAAAGTGACAAAACAGAACTGATACAGGCACGTAATTACAAAAACAAAATAAAAGCTACGATCTAACACGGCAAAGAGAACGATAAGATGAACGATTAAAGCCAAACCAAAGCTCCGAAAAAAGAAAATGAGATAGAAATGAGTACAGACCTTTGGAATTGAGGAAAAGGCAAGGGATTTTGAGGGGGTTTGAGTGCAGGAGCTGAAGGTTTGGTGCTGGTGCCGTCTTCGTCTCGTCCAGCACACCGTTTTTTTTTCTTTGGGTAAGAAATGGCAATAATAACAAGAATGAATGTGAGAGGGAAAGGGCAGCTGTGGTGCTTTCTTTTTTGTCCACCCTTCGCTTTTGTGTTCTTTCTTTTTCTATTTTCAAATAAACAAATAAAAACCTGAATTTTCAGAAAAAAATGTTTATAGGCCGACCAGTATAATTTACATCATGGATAGGATTTAATTCAATTATTAAAGTAACTATGTTGGGTTAAGTGGTCCTTCACTTTTGAGCAACAAGCTCAAAAAATAAAAAAATACAACCAAAAAATAATTATTATGTAATAGATTAGTGAATTTAACTCTGAGGTTGTGATTTGTAGCTCAAGTCATGTGGTAGGCCTCATATATTTTTGTATTGAAAAAAGATTAGTGAAACTCAAACAAAAAAGGTTTTTAAAAAAATGGGTTAATCAGTTCGGGCGAGAGTAGAATGAGTCCTTGTGTTGCATCCCCTTCTTTTAATCCGACCAGAAAAAACTATTAAGTTAATATTGTTGTAAATTCGTAATGTTCTTTGTTGTGTGTTGCAAGAAGAATCCATTGCTTACATTGACAACATGGGCGGTAAAGGACTTGATGTGGGATTAAAGTTATTTTTTGTCTCTCTTTAAAGGCTCTTCAGGGTTCATGTATCTATCAAGTTTGATTTGATTTTAGATGAAGAATGGGTTGCATTTTGGGTTATGGGATGGAATTCATTGAAATTCTTTCAAGTTTGATTTCATTGAAAACTCATATTTACATCTCAGGGAAATGGGCAAACCAGTCTGGTGTTCCTAGCTAAAACCAGCATGAGATCAAGCACCTCAATCTCTACCTGAAACACTTAAACTGATAGGAGCAGCTATTTCATGGCATTTTACATGCAGTTTATTTTGCTATGGATTTCCTGCAGGCTACATATTGTACAAAAATGAGAGCGATTATATAGGAGTGCCCTTCTATGAGAAAGTCTTGGCAACTGAAGAACTGGTAACTAAGCCTGAGAGGAGGGCCACAATGAGTGCACTATTGTAAGTGCTTGGTTCACCTTGCATCGAATTGTTCCGGTTATCGATATAGGTTTCATTCAGGAAGGGGCCTCCAACTAGAGCACCAACAGCTACATTTGGATTGGGATTGGAAGAATTCAGCCACTTAAACCCGTCCTGGCAGCCGGTATGTGCATCAGCTGGAATTGAAGATCCCCTGTGGTGCACATACTGAGGGTACTTGCTCCCATACCCAACAAGATAGCTCATCTCCATTGGATTTTCGCCCAACACATAATCTACCTGAAGAATATTTAGTAATTTGGTCAGATTAATGCAGAGAGAGACAGTAACTTTGGGGCTTTACTTAAACATCAAAAGATGAATCAGTCTCCAGAATCCATTCAAAACTATTACAACTTATTTCCAACAGATTGAATACCTGAGAAATGGCAAAGTTACGAAGATCGGTAGGCTTGTAGAATTTCCCATCACAATACAGCACTTCAGTCTTGGATGTAAGCATGTAGTCACTATAGAGAACGGCTAGAAATGCTGAAGCCACAGCATGCTGCAGACAGTTCCATTTTATCACCCATATCAGACCACCTATATCACAAGACACATAGAACTTCATCAATTTAGTCTGCTCCCACACACAGTCGTTCAGCATAACACACACACAGATTCACTGATACCGTAAAAGACTGAAAAAATTACTGGCTGTTCTGCTGGATGTGGCCGTGGGCGAATCAGGTAGAAGTCCACACATGAAGACCTCTGCAGTTTCTCTGTACTTTTGAAGGTCCATGTTCTCTGCAAATGAGATATCTTTTGTACCAAAGAAACTTATCCTGGACAGTAGAACCTGCTCCCAAAAATGTCACAAATATTAGCATAATCTGAACTTTGCAGAGTCAGCTAGATGTATCCTCTCTCTCCTGATGCTTGCAGATGAAATTAGCATATACTACTTTGTATAAACAATTCTTAGCAACAACGTATATGATTACTGATCATTAGAAATAAGAGCTATATTGATGATCTTAACAACAAAATGGACCACTATAAATATAGATAATCTGAGCTTATAAACTACATCTGACAACTTCGGCATGAATTCAACATTCAAGTACCATATGAAGAACTAAATGGAAACGAGTTAAAGAACTCCTTATAATATATACCTGAGTAGCAGCATGCTTGTCGTCCCAACTAAACCAAGATGGACTTCCCCAGTTAGCAAATGCCGGGCCGTTCTGTTCGGTTGCATATTTCAAGTATGTCAAGTCTCCAGTGGCATGATAGAGCCAGGTAGCTGCCCACAAGAGTTCATCTCCATATCCCGTAGAGTTGTAGTAAGTCTGCACTTGGGGTATGCTGACACTATAAGAACCTCTGTAAGTATCAGCAAAAGCAAACAGCTGCTGGCCATGGATGAGGAGCAACTTCGAATAAGAGGAGTTGATTTTCCTGAAAACCAGAGATGCTGATGCCATAGCTGCTGCAGTTTCTGCTGCAACATCTGCTCCTGGGAAAGATGTGTTAATTTGAATCAGAGGCCTTTCCTCTGTCATGACTTCAGGTCTCTGCCAACACTTGTGGTCCAAGTCAGGATCACCCACCTTCAACCACATACAAGCAATCAATAAATAAACAAGTTCAAAAGGTTAATTCTTCCCCAAAAAGAAAGCCATAGAATTGTGTTAGAGCACCGCTCGGGTTATTACATTTGTTCACCAAATAATGTCTAAGCACACTTTTGAACCTTGTTCATTCTAATAAGTTACTATCGTGATATGCGTGCTAAAGGTAATGTTCTCTTATCAAACTTATGTCACAAGACAGATACTTGTGCTGTAAAAAATGTTAGGCAATTAGACCTGAATATAGAGCTCATTGGGAGAAGGATGTGCATTGATAAGGTAATCAGTGATCCATTTAAGCGAGTCATGGGCATGATCCAATTGCTTCACCGCTTTCATCTGATCTCCATATTCAAGAATTCCCCAAGACAACACAGTTCCAGTAAAAGCCATGGGGAACCCAAACTTGATGAGGTCCCCTGAATCATACAGTCCTTTTGACAAATCCAAATCCTCCTCACTCCCATCTTGGAGCCCCGAATCCCCTCTCCACGGAATCGGATTATCCACAAGCTTACCAGCTACAAACAACAACAAAGAAGTCTACAACATCAACAACATGCATAGTTATTATAACAAAATAAATAATATCAAAACAAGAATTGGAGAATTGGGTTTGTTTACATTTCTGGATATCAAAGAACTGCATGGAGAGTTGAAGAGCTTCTGAGTATTTTTGCACTATGGGGCCGGGGCGACCCGAGACACGACTTGAATTGGAATGCTTGAAATACTTCAAGAGAGTGAGTGCAGCCATAGTGGCAACCAGAGCTACAGTTACTAACAGAATTAACCGCCAGCACCATCTTTCTGTCTTTGACCCTTTCTGAGCAGCTTTCTCAGCTCTATCTTCCATTTACACAACTTCTTTCAACCATTCTCAACAAGATTTCAGCTTTCGCTTTGTTAAGACTAAATCAGATTGTTTTTTCCAGACCCAGAAAAGAAAAAGTAACAAAATTCGATCTTTGTTTTACTTGTTGGACTTAGGCTTGGAGATGAAACAGAGTCCATAAGGGCATGTGTGAGTGCGGCTGGGCCGTCGGATTGGTGGGGTGGGGGTTTGCGTGGAAGGTCGAGATGTGGCCGAAGAATGATGCCATTACGTTGGGGAGGCAGACGGCCAAAAACTGCCAGGTACAGCTTGGCCTTTGTTTTGAAACCGGAAGAGATGATAGATTCTCAGATTGTGCTTTGCCTTGTCATTTTCTGTTCCAACTCCATGGGAAGAGAAAACCTTGGATGAGTACTTACCTGCCATTTGGCAATGATGAGTGGCAAGACAACCTCCACTTGTGTCTTGACATGTGGCAATTTATGCCAGGCCCATACCTACTTAAGTATTGCCATTGGATCAAAGTAAAGTCTATCCAATGGTCAAAATCATGCACAAATTTCTCTCTACTAGATTGAGGGATAGGCTTGCATTTTGATTTGGATGAAGATCATTTTATTTCTGCTTGAGATCTCAACTCATGTCATCTTGATTCTTTAAAGTTCAAAATATGTTGTTTTTCTTAAATTTTTAAAAATTATTGCTTAATTATGTTACAATGTCAAATTAAAATATTTACGGATCAATGATAAATATTTGTGTAAACTCCATTCCCTCAGTCGATTGTGGGTCAATTGAGAGCTCTTTTTCATGATGAGTATACTCATCAAACTTGTTACATCTCTTGGGCAGAGATTGTAAACTTTATTTTTGTTTAAAGAAAAATAAAAAAAAATCTTGGGCCATAGAAGATTGGTTAAAGTTTTTCAACCTTCAGGTTCAACGCCCTGAGGCCCTAGTCAACTAAATCCTATGTGGACCAGCCTAACAAATTACGGTGGTGCCCCGAAACGGCCCAAGTTATCCTTCCATCGAGGTCAAGGGCGCGAGAGGTGTGAGCTGCACTGGCAACTGAAGAGCTCCGTAGTCCGTACGATCCCTGTGCCCTCACTCCTCTACCATTGGAGCTCTAGCTTATTATATACACGCAGTGAGTCACACAGAGACACGAATATTTATAGATACAGAGAAAAGAAGAGGAGAAGAGCAAGGTGAATAGTAAAACTTCAAACTCTTAATTAACAATGGCGGAAGGAAGGGAAGGTGATTGGGAATGCAGTGGATGCAGGAACAGAAACTACGCCTTCAGATCCTTCTGCAATCGCTGCAAGCAGCCTCGCCTTCTCGTCGACACCAAAACCCCCGCCGACTCCAAATGGCTCCCTCGTATTGGCGATTGGATCTGTACCGGTTAGACCTCACACCTCTCTCTCTGTCTGTCTCTGTCTCTTCTCTCTACGTGTGCGTTAATTTTTTAAATGTTAAATGGTTAGGGTTCTTGGGAATTTGGATAATTCAGGGATATGGGTTTTTAAGGTTATGGGTTTAAGGGTATTCACGTTGGGTTCTGTTTGAATTGTACCCCGCATAATAGTATCTACTTGAGCTCTTTAAGATAGTTTTAGGGTCAATTTTTGTTGATAATTGAGAATTTTAGCTGAGAATGCCATCTCCTTAGTTCAATTCATTCCGTGGCACCCATCTTCAGTGACCTTTTTTTAAGTTTGATTAAAAGTCTCAATCTTTGAAACTTAAACAAGAGAAAGAGGGTGATATTCCTAAATCGTTAATTGTGTTTTGTTGAGAGCAGATAGTGGTTCAGTATGGCAGTTGGGTGACATGCTCTGTTTTGTAAATAAGAATGTAGGGGAAGGATGAAATACTGGTCTGGAGCTTAATTTTCTAATAATTAAAACTCAAATATTATCACCCCTCTCTACTTTTCTCAATTTCCTAGTTGAACAAATCGACAGCTTTTTTCCAGCTGCATTCACTATAATTTCACATCAGTATACGTTTTCTTATATGGTTATGCTAGTGACATGATTTATTGGCAATGTTTATTGAATGAAAGCACATAGTTGTTGTTCCTGCAGCTTTTGTATTTCGTTGCTTTTACTTTTTTGTCATTTTGAAAAAATAGGAACTTGCTATCAATTAGGTTGAGTGGTTTTTGTTTCTTGTATGTGTGTTTTGGTGTGGGATGGACTGGTTGGTGTGCGTATACATGGCTTCCTTTCTTCTTCCTGGCTGGATTGTGGGTTGGGTGTGTATGGCAATGGATCAATAGGTTGCACTAACAACAATTATGCATCAAGAGAGAAGTGCAAGAAGTGCGGGCAACCAAAGGAGGTGGCGGCAATGCCAGCGATTGCAATGCCTGGAGCTTCTCTCCCAACTTATTCACATTATTTTGCCAGGGCCCAAGGAGGACTGGACCAAAAGATGAATATCGGAATAATGGGCAATGGTGCTCCCCAACAATCGCTTCCTCTGAACTGGTCTATGGCAGGGGCTGATAAATACGGAGTTCAGCCACCTTCTTGTTGGTCTGTAGGTGGGAACCATAATTCTGGACTTCTATATTCAAACCCTACTAATCAGCTTCTTTCAGTTCCAAAAGGATGGCGCAGCGGTGACTGGTTATGCAATTGCGGTTTCCACAATTATTCGTCTCGAACACAGGTATGATGACACTACATGAGCATTCAAATAAAAAATTGTTCATTACCTGACTGTTGATATCTGATCCACCTGTGATTTATCTGC